ATATTAAATGCAAGTACTATGTTTTAAATTACTGAATTGAGTATAAAATAATCAATGTATTAATTTTTTAATAATTATATTGTAAAGAAAAACATTTTTTACATTAATTTTTTTTTATTAACATTAATTGAAAATGTATGTTTAATGCACAGTAACATTTTTGAATAGTGATTGCAATAATTTATTAAAAATTTTATTCCCATTTATAATTTTTTTAATATTCATTTTCAAAGATATAAAAATTAAAATCTATGTATATAATGTTGATTTTAAATATTCGTTTTAATTTTTTAACCGATATTGTATTTGACGAAATTTCATTATTGATTATATTATTTTGTTATAAATATTCTCAGCTTTGTTGATGTATTGATTTGATACATATATTTATATACACACATTGAATGATAAAAATTTTATACAAGAAAATAACTCCAATGTTTCAGAATTGGGTTAAATTAAATTTTGTTTTTTAAGATTTTTATCTCATTGACTTACAATTATTTTATTCTATTAACAATATTTTCAGCATAGAAAATTGTTAATAATGATAAAATTTTGAAACTCATAATGAAAAAAAATTTTAAATCAAAATTGACTCTCAGAACAATAATTTTTTTATGTTATATTTATATGAAAAAATTTAAGTTTTTCAATTCAGAATAGACTTTGTTGCTAAATTAATTATATGTAGAAACAGTAAATAAATCTTATTATAATAGAGTATTATAAAACTTTGTAAATATTTTACAAAATAATACAGAATAATTTCTTATTGCATGGTTAATTTTATCTTGCTTATATAATGTTGTAATCTATTAAGGCATTAATAAATTGTAATTATCCAAAGCAAAATTTTCTTTTATTGTAATTTAAAAAAATATATTTTATTTGATTTTATTTTTATCTTTAATCAATTTATTATTATTTTCATTCGAACTTAAACAAATTATAAAATAATACATTCAAAAAATAGTTTGTTAATTAAAAAATAAGATATATAAGAGGATATCCACTGTCACCGATGAATTAATGTTTTTACATACTTATTAACTTTTAAATTACTTAAAATATATTTATTTTATATAACTAGTTCATAAACATATACAATTTCTTCATTTTGTATGAAAGTCAGTTTATTATTTTTGCACGTTGGAACTAAAACAATTCTAGTTTGTATTTATGCATTTCAGGGCTTATTAAATAAAAATATTTAATTTAAATTCTGTTAAAAATTAAACAACTTATATTCTTTGTCTTTACTTTCTACAAAATGTATTAAAAAACTTACATGAAAGGATTCATAAATTTAAATTATATATATTTAAATAATATATAAATTTAAAATTGCTGTGTAAATCATTCGATTTTTAAAGTTACGAATGACATTAGTTTGCTTAACAGTATTCTTTTTAATTGAGATATAGTTTATTGTTATATATGTTTATTTCTTCAGTAACAATATATTCCAGAATAAATATTAAATATAACCCAGAAACATAAAAAATGATTTTTTTAACAAATAATCAATTTATTATCTTTATATATCTAATAATCTAGAATCTAATAAAAACTATAATATCAAATGAATATAATATGTAAAGATGAGATTAAATCATTTTTTATGTTTATGATTAAGTATAATGATTACATATTAAATATAATAATTTGTAATAAGTATTTCAACGCAAACACATGTAGAAGATTGTTGAGTTGAAATATATAAAAAAATGCATTTGTATACACTTCTATGTCAGCAGTACAGAGCAATACTTTTCATTCATAAAATTAAACTGTAATAACAATAAATGAATAAAAACAAAAAATAAATATTTTTAAGACAAAAAATAATGTGTTTAATTCTAAGTATTTAAAACTTATTTAAATATATTCATAAAATATTCATGATATATTCATTATTTATTCATAAAATATTGTATCATTTCATTGTAATAATATTACTAAGCAATATATTATAAATTTGTATACTAATTAATCGATGCATTAAGTAATTTTATTTTATTTTACATTATATTATGATGTTATATTACTAACGGATAACTAAATATTTTCAAGACTATGTGCTTTTTACAGATTGAATTTTTAAATTGGTATTAGTATTCAAATTTCAAAATTTTAAATGCTTTTAATATTATAATGCATACATTTACTTAGTTTTTGTTTTACGAATTTTCGAAATTACTTTAAAATCATCAGTTAAATAAATAATTTATAAAATATAAAATATTTATACTAATGGTTTAAATATTTTTATATAAAATAACGTAACACTCTTTTATGTATAATATAATATAATATTTAATACATTTGGTAAATATTATTACTTTTTTTTAACATCTTTCGTACTCACTATATTTGATCAATCACCCTTTGATTATATAGTACGTCCCTGTTTTAATATAAAAAAAGTATACCAAATATTTAATGTACTCTTAAATGACTGCATATGTATGAATGGATTTACATAAAATATAATAAAATAATAAAACAATAAAAAGAAGATTAAAAATTTTTAAATTATATTTTTATTCCTAAATACATAGTTTTGTATAGATTTGTATAAATAAAAATATAAATATAGTAAATAAAAGAAATTGTTTATTAATTTTCAAACAATCCATTATATTATTTACAATCTATTATTACCAAGATTTTTTACAAATATTTTTTAATCATTAACTATTACGATGTTTATTAAATTTAAATATCATTAAATAAATATAAAAATAATAAATTTTATAGCGTATTTTTATTTAATAACGAATTTTCTATTTTAATTATTTTTAAATTATAAAAGTTGAATATATATATCACATTATTATTATTTTATCTTATTAGTATGAATTTCTGTTAATGTTAAATTTTACAGTATTATTTAAAATTCGTAGTATGAAGTCATTAATTTAATGTAAATAATCTATAATATATAACATGGTATGATAAATTATATAATATAGTATTAAATATTATATAATATAGTATTGTATATAATATAGTTATATATATTATAAATATAGAAATATATATTATATAACAATATTAATTTACATAATTATTAATACGTTGGAAAATGTATGGTTGTATAATTTTAAACTATGAATGTAACTCTAAATATTTAATATACCGTTTGTAAGTCATGATATATATTTTGAAGTTATTCAAAATGTTAGTATAATACAATAAATGTTTCTGTTATTAATATAAATATTATTGAATTAATTTAAAATTTGTCGTTTTTAGTTATTTTTTTTAAATTGTAGAAATTATTTTTATCTGTAAAATATATTTTAATTAATTGAGTTTTTGAATGTCATTAATATAATAATTTAGTTATCACAAAATTAATTTTAATATGATTAGAATTTTTTTTTAGTAGCTTCATATTATGAAATATTCTACAGACGTAAAATAGATTATTTATTTTTTACCGTTTTTATTTAAATTTTAAATTTATTAATACAAGATTTATACAAAAGACAGATTAATACAAAATAATATTTATTTCATTAAACAGTATATTTTGAATATATATGGAATTTATTAGATCTTATTAAATTGATTGTAGATATCTTCTTTTTTTCATATATTCTTTTTAACGCTAATACAAGTAATTTCTGGAGACATTTATTAAGGTAGGGTAAAGTAATTTATATAAGATTTTGAAATATACTATTTTGAAAGAATATTGATGTGATGAATTTATAAAACTGGTTCTTTAATCAAGTACAAAATTATTTAATTAATTGTATTATGCCACGTGAACTAGATAATTTATAATAAATAAAGGTAACTATGGAATTGCTAAAAAATAGCTAATAATCAGGTATATTATGGAAATTATTAAAATAGCGTATGGGCACATGACATATACATTTTTTGTAATTATATTTCATGATTTACGTTGCAAAAGAAACAGGTTTTAACTGTGTATACAAAGAAAACACAAATGTATATAACAATAATGTATTGTTTACATTATACAGTTTAAAAAAAATAATTTTATCCAAATAAGATTTTAAATTTTGTAGCGATTGAAGAGCTATAGTTAATTGTTTTAAATTATGCTATTTAATAATATATTAAAGTTAATTAAAAAAATAAAAGATTACTTTTTGAATTAAAATATCTTTATTTCGAAGGTTAATTTAATTGTAGATATAAGATATGATTAATATTATTAATCAACGAAACTGAATATTGAATAATTATTGAATCTATAATTTCAAGTACATTAATTTATGAAGTGTGATAATAATTTTATTATTACATAAAATATATACCAATATATGATACTTATTAATAAGAATAAATAATTTTATAGTTTAGTATATTGATATAGAAAAATATAGATACTTAATAATATTTGTATATATTTATAATTAAAATAATTACACAAATAAAAAATGAATTAAATGTAATTGCTATAATATAAAAAAGTGGTTAGTATGTTCTTTATTTTAGATAAGAATTGTCTGGTCGAATATGATCAATGAATATATCAGAATGAAATTACAAATATATGAGAAATATACCTAAAGAATTATTACATATTTTAAGGTTCATAGATAAATAAATAAAGCATAATAAGATACCACAAAATTGCTTTATCATAAGTATTGATTCTGAATGTTAAGAAAAAAAGTTTTCTGTTTGTAGAGCTGTTAAATATTTTAGAAGTATCTATGTACGACCTCTGCATAAAATATTTTTTACTTTCCTATTTTTCGTAATGAAATGAGAGAAGAAAGTTGTAATAGCCTCACAGAAATTAAATGCTATTCAATTTTTATTTTAATATACTAGCACGGTATATATGCACATATAATTTTTTGTTAATTATTAGTAATTTCATGTGAACATATTTAAAGTAAATTTAAATGCAAAAACGTGATATATATCTAATAAATAATTTAATAATTTTTATATGTTCCAATTAAAATGAAATTGTATTAGTTATACTAATATATTACATTTGAAGAATGCATAATTTAACTCTGCATGTTAAATTTGGTCTGCGTGCTATTGGTGCTTGGCCTGGAATGTTATCATCTAGATTATATTATATAATATTGATATTATTTGTATTAAGTTTGATATTTCAATTTTGGCATCTAGTAAAAGTTATTCAGAAATTGGATAAATTATTGCTTAATTTGGGTACAACTATATCAGTTACTTCAGTGGTGTTAAAACTAGTTGTGTTTCGATTTAAGTACAGGTAATAATTAGGAAAAGTATTATTTTTACTAACATAATGAACTTAAAAATTTTCATAATAATACTAGAATTTGAAATTCATTTATAAATGAAAATTTTTTTTATATTTGGTTTATTTTAAAAAATGTTAACATTACCGTAAAATTTATAATAGATCAGAACTTTGAAATTTTATTGAATAAATATCAAAGTAAGACTGATACTTCAAAATTTTACTAAATTTTATATTTAAAATTTATAATCTACATGAAATTATTTATAAATTAAATATATAATAAATTTCATTACTATAAATATTATATTTTATATATTATTATATTATTATGCACAATGTTAAATAAAATCTATAACCAGTATATAAGAATAGAATTTTTGAAAATATTTCTACAATCTTTCGAATATATAATCATTAGATCATACAAAAAAATTTTGAATTTAAAAAATTTAATATATCAATATTTTTTATAATATAAATAGTTTATTTTTTATATTCTATATTTCTAGTTTATTTAACATACTATTATAAGTTCAAAATTCTAATTCTAAATTCTATATTTATTTATCACGCATTATTTAATTGTCACACATTAATTATTTATTGACTTTCTGTAAAATAATTATTTATTTAGATAATAAGTTATTTATATTATTAAATAATTACGTTGTTATATTTCTAATTTGAACAGATTATTTGAAAATATATATTTATTCAATAAAAGTTTATATTTAAATATTTATTACTTTTTTCCAATATTCGGTTTTCAAGGTGTTGCACTCTTAATTGATTTTCATAAATATTTGTTTATATCACTCATAACGGGACTAATAAAATAAAGTAAACGAAAAATTATTTTTAAATTCAATTTTTTGTTTTTATATGTTTGCTTATTTTATAATGTATCGTTAATAATATATTATTAGTCATATCTCTATAAAATACTGCCAATTTAAGAAACATTAATTTTTTAAATACTGCATGTATTTTATTTTTTATAATGTATTTGGAGATGTATTTATTATATATGTTGAGTAATACGAATGTGTATAATTTGAATCATTGTTAAATAATGATGTATGCAGTTAATGAAAGTCTTTTAATTGTAAGAAATATATTGCTTTATATCTTTAATAATAGCAGTATTTTATTATATTTTGAAATAATTCAATTTTACTTATTTTACAACAAAAAAATTATTTTATCTGAGCACATATTTTCATTATTAGATTCTATTTATTATTAAAAGTATTTTTTTATTATAAATAATAGTCTAATATTAACACCAATTAAGATGATAGAACAAAAGATTTAAAATATAAAATATAACCATGAACAAATTATAATTTAATTTGCTGAAATATTCTATTACTTCTTATTAGAAGTATAAAGATAATTATAAATGAATTAATCGAAGACTGGGAAAATAAAAATGAAATAAAAATAAACAAGAATTTTACGATGAAGACCTCGAAATTAGCTACTTATATTTGTTATATAGTTGCTATATGTTATACCACTACTGTGCTTGTAATTTCAATTGCTTGTATTATGACTTACAATGCAGAACCTTATGATAACAGAGAATTTATTGTTTATTCATATTTTCCAATGGATGCAAAAAAATCTCCAGTTTATGAAATAATATACATTTTACATCTTATAACATGTTTGTTTACTTGTTTCTACCATAGCACAATTGAAGGACTTCTTATAATTTCGGTAGGCATAAAAATATTTGTTGCTAAAATGTGTTATGAAGTTTATTATTAAAGTTTAAATTCTTTACATATGCTTAGGTTGCGCATTCTCGTTCTAAAGCTTTCAATGTGTGTACAAAATTTTCAAAATTAATAGAAATGTATCGAACTGAAAATAATCGAAAGCATATTTTAAAAAATAAACAAGAACTAATTGAATGTCATTTGAATTTTATTACATTTACAGATTGTATTCAAGATATATATTCCTATGTTGCATTTGTACACTTATTTTTAATAACAATTCTTAATGGAGTTATTGGATTTTTAATTATCAATGTAAACATTTTATTATTATTTAAGTTTTTATTATTTAATATATTTTATTAAATATGTCACTTTTTATTATTTTAAGATATTGTTATTACTAAATTTTTAATGTATTACTTATAATATAATTAAGTATTAATGTAATAAATATGATATATTTACTATTTATTGTAATGTGACATCGGCTATCTTCATTCCGGAGGACAGTATATTCGCTTTGTGACTATATTTTTTATTGACCTACATAATTAATATTACTTGAATTTTGATATGTGTTCTCGAATTCAAACTACACCAAACACTAAAATACACTATAGACTAATGACAAAAACTGTTATAAAAATTAAATATATAACAAAAAAAAAGATTTACCATTTTTTAGGATAATGTAAATCTGGCCAAATATTAAAATATATATGAAAAATCACTATTATAAATTTAAAGAATTGATTATATAAAAATACCAATTTCATTGAAAAATATAGTGAATATTTAAAAAGAGTACTGAAATATAAACAAGGTAAACGATACTTCCGAGATTAATATGAAAACGCAAGTGATGGTAACAGCCATAAAACAAAATTTCGATAAACTTAAGAAATACAAAAAAATAAATTAAAACTATCTTTGCTATACTAAACTTTTTTTGTACAAGTCAACTAGAAAAATATTATTGAAGTCTAACTTCATTTAAATAAATACAAAAACATAGAAGCAGTATCGATTTTGATAATAGTCATTCAAGTGATCGAATATTTAAGAAAAACCTTTACATCATGACTATGAAATACAACAGTTTATTACAGAATAATGAATGAAACTGCATTCGTTACCATCTTTTATAATATGTTCAGTAATTTAATGATAAGGATAAAGATATTTTTAGGTGGTTAAAAACGATCAAAATCAATACAGAAATTTTCAATAGCTTGAATACCTCGTCCGCAAAAAAAGCAATTTCTGAAATTTGAAACTTATGTTAAGAACATTGGTTATAACGAACATTTTATATTATCTATTAAACGATCAATCGTATTAGGCGAAGCTATACTCTTTCCAAACTGTACTTATTAAAATAGAACTTTCTTTTGGTGCTATGTTTTTAAAAATCTTACAACATTATCTTATAGGTACTGATTTATTGTAGCTTACTTCATTTCCAACTTCTTTTTTTTAATTTTTTTTTATGTATCTTTCGTTTTTTTTGTACGTAACTTTATTTCATCGAATTCAAATAGTATCATGATAATTTATAATAGTAATCGGATATAATATTTATACATGACGTCAATATATATTGTGAAAAATAAAATTTGTCGCAATGTTACTAATTAATGAATTTAAAAGAATAGAAGGATTCAGTTATATTATAAATTAAATAAAACTCGATATATCAATATTATATCAATATTTTTTAGTAAATATCATGGATTTTATTCACACTTTTTACCGATGAACTAGAATTAAACATTATTTTTAAAAAATCGAGCAGGTAGTATTTCCAATATTTTTGTTTAAACTCAATATATATATATATATATATATATATATATATATATGTATATATATACCGTTATTCGGGTATGGTCTAACTAATTATAAGTAACTATTATTATATAATTATTAAACTAATAAAAATCATAAAATATTTTAGACATTATCCTACTAACAAACAATTTTATTTTTTTCTTGTAAGTTATAATCAATGACTATACATAGGTAGATTTGTTTTAAATATACAGTTTTCCTTTAAATAATTTTATGACATTTTTCTAAAATTTATAAAATCTTAACCTTATTTATCCCATTTTTTTACATAAATTTCATCCTCGTAATTTGCTGTCCAGGTAATAAAAAGTACTACAGGGTACTTTTACAACCATGGTTTAAAATTTAATTTAAATAATAAGATCTTTTACATTTTTCTTATAATTTGTTTTTTTCTGTTTTTCTTTTAAATGAAATTTTTCTTTACATATAAAAGTATAATGGGAGTACTGTACTTGCTATTATGATTGTGTGTATATAAATATACTTTAAAGTCTGTTTAAATTTTCTACTTCGAATATTAATAATTAACTACCAGATTGTTGTAAACAAATTTATATACTGATTTTATTATTTTATTATTTGTGTGTAGTTCTCCAATATAGATGTAGATAAAAATTTTACTTTATTTAAGATTATACCATTTGTTTTTACTTGTATGTGGGCTGTTGGAACTTATTGCTTTGCTGGCGAATTTTTAACTTCTCAAGTATTGAATTCTTATTCTTAAAATTATTAGGTAATTTCCAAAATAATTTTAATTCTTTCATATTTTTAGGGCACATTAGTTTTGAAAACACTTTGTAATTGTCCTTGGTATATCTTTAAGCCATCCGATGTAAAATTATTAATATTTATGATTATGAGAAGTCAACAATCAGTAAAGATTTCGGTTGGAAAATTTGGGACCCTTTCATTTATATACCTTACTCAGGTACAATTTTATTTACTTATTTTTTAGAAGTAAATGATAAAATTTCTGACTTTCTTACTAGATAATTAAAACATCAGTTTCCTACATGTCCGTCGCTCGAGTAGCTAGTAAATGAATATGACAAATATTTATATCAAATTTTTATACTCATAAAAATTAAATATATACAAATTTTGCAAATATATACTGTAACATTAAATCAATTTTAAGATGTTGAATCATGAACACAGTTCTTAAATGTAAGTAAATTAATAGATAAACTAGATTGTAATATATTAATTCAATGTTTATACATGATTACAAATATATTCAAATATTATTTCATAAATTATGTATTTGAGAGTATTCAATTATGAATCTTAATTTTAGCTAAAATTATTATTAAAAAATAGTAATATGGTAACATAATTATAAATTTAAGATTACCTATAAGGTATATATGAAAGCATTACCATAAATAATGTGAATTAAAGAAAAAAATTATTTAAATATCATTATTAAGATAAATATCAGTTTATTTAAATAAAAGAGATTGATATATATATTTAGGAATATTTATGATAAACTATGCCATTTATATTACAAATAAACATAGAATTATAATAAACATAAAATTGTATTACTTTTCATGAAAGTAATTCCATGTCTCCAGAAATATTTGATTAGTTTATATTGAAAATATATAAAACGTTCTGTTAGAAAATTCCATATCTTTTTTCAAATAGTAATATACATTTCAATTGTAGCTAAAGTTAAAAGTTTAAATGTACTTCTTCTACCACTCAATGTTTTTTGTACTTTTATATTTATATCATTCTAATTCAATATTTCATAATTTTATGAAGAAACTATACCGAATGATTCACTATGCATATGTTTGTAATTTCTTTTACAAGTAGACAATAAAAGATGCCAGAGAATGCCAGAATCACTTTCGGGCACAACTCATAAGACAATTGTGGCTTAGACATAATAACTAAGAGTTTCAATTTCGGTTTTCTTCAGCATAATAAGTTCGATATGAATGCCCGACTGTTTAATCCATCATCAAACATGACTCTTGTTAATTATAAATTTAATTTTTTAAAATACCGAATTCGAAATATATTCATAGTAAGAACATTTATTTAGTATAAAAGAATTATTATTTGCTATAGTTGTTGTTCCATAAAACAAGCTGTTTTTTTACTTTGAGTTCTAGGCATCTCTGATTTATTCCCTTGAATTAAGTGAAAATGTTCGTTCTCTGTATATCTTATATATATAAATTAAATTGTATGTGTTACGGATTACAACAGTTTTAAGCGGAATACAAATTGGAAGATGTATGAGCGCGCGAAGCATTGTTTGGTAAACATTGGCCAACGGACTCAACGAATGCTTCTAACCGAAAAATTCGATCATACGACCATAATTCCGAGAAATAATAACAAATGAACCCGACAAAGCTATGCCCTATTGCCGCCACGACAAATAGCGGCATAGTAACAGCCACCGATGCGCCATCGGCGCATCCAGTTCGTACGAGAATGTGAAGGAAGCTGCACGTGTCGCGATTGCCCTGCTAGTATCAATCATGCACTCTTCACAGCGGGATCGCTATCCAACCTTGCCATCGGTATTGGGAGGCTATGGCAAGCATCAAGCAACCTAAGAAACTAATAGCGATGCCACAACTATACTGGCACCCACACCTCCGTAAGCAACGCAGATGCTCGTTCCTTACTACTTCTTCTAGTTATCAAGCACCCGTCAAGACAGGACCGCCACTACTCTACATTCGCGGTTTACGCCCGCATCGGTTCCTGCCAACTCAAGTAAGATGCGACCAGACGCTCATTCTTACTATCTCATCACGCGGTTCCTGCCACTCTGCTCATCACACAGTTCCCGCCACCACGTGCAAGTTACGCCGGCTCTCGTTCTTGCATAGTACCTTACACCGCGATTTACGCCCGCATGTAAGTAACGTCGA